TTGACTGAGTTTGCTAAGCATAATGTTCTCCAGTTTTGTCATGTCTTGCAGTGTTTAAGAGAGTTATTGTTTTTTATTGATGTGTAAAAAGAATTTGACTTTTTATGGTCATGACCATGTACAGCTTTTACAATCTTTACATGTTATTAAAATTTTAAAAATCTACATTTTAATCTTGGAAACATTTCTACTGCTATTTAGAGGCAGACAGCATTAAATATTTGAATATACCATTCTAGTGTTTTCATATTACAATTTATATGTATAACAATGGTCCAGGATAATAAATTTTTTAATTAGGTATATCATATGATTTCTACTAAAAAAAAGAAAATGTTTGGCATACTCAGCAACATTTTCATTTGATGTGACTGATTTTAATGCTGAGAGACATTAATTTGCTCTTTGAAGAGTCACATGCCTGGATAAGGGAACTTGCAAAAGGAAGACTCTCTATGGTGCGAACGCTCAAATGGAGCACTTTATGATTTAACTACATGAAGAGGTTTCTCAAAGTACACGGGGAAATTTCACTCCATTTTTGAAGCTTTAGACATAACAAAATAGCTCAGGGAAATTTCTATGTCTGGGAAATAGGTGCACATGTTAAAGCACGCACACACGCACACACACAAAACCAGGGTTATCTGAAACGGATATGTGTAACACGGAACTAAGAGCCTCACTGAGCTCGGCTAAGTGAGGGCACGGGGAGTCTGGGGTGATTCAAGGATTGCCGTATTTACGGTAAGGGTGCTGTTGTTTTAAACGTTCATAAATAAGTGGTTTCATAAGCAAGTGCTTCCACAACAAAGCTGCTCTCCTTACATGTCTGGCAGCGGGTATTGAGTTTCTAGAAATGTGGTTGGTAGTCACTATGCCTTCCATCGTCGTGTGAGGTGGCTAGGTTGGGATTTGGGGCAGGGACCGGTTCTTTTTAAGTGCAGTGGGCTGAGAAGTGAAACACTGGTCGGGCAGAAGTGGAGTCTGGCATCTCTTCACCCACGTGTCCGTGCACATGTACCATGTCCGTATAACAGGTCTGCGTGCCAGGTAGCCATCGGAGCTCGCAGGACAGGGCCTCTGGCTTCTCAAAGCTTTTGTGCTAATGCAGTCCAAGTCTTTAGGAAGTACCTGTCAGATCCCAAGCACAAGGCCCCCACGCGTGCTCAGGGAGTGAGGAACTTGGACCGGCTGCACCTCACGAAGAACGCGACTGAGACGAATACCCGATGAGTAACTTGTCCAGCTGACACTCTTCAGGATTCCTATGCGCCTGGACCTTTCTTCTGGATCGCCCTCTATTTCCATAGACAGGAAATTAGAGTCTAGAGACTGGACTCACCTGACAAACCCTCCCCCCGCCCCCACCTCCAAGGCTTCTTAAACCAACACAAAACCAGCAAGCCATGATTGACAGAAGGCAGAGGGCCAGAGGGAAAGCATAGGTGGACCACAAGATGGGTTCTCTCCTCACGATGCCAAAAAACACAACTCGAAGAAGAGCTTGAGTAACATGCATTGTGTTTATCAAGGTGAGCAGCCTATTTGCTTCACCAAGGCCTCCGTGTTCACCTGATTCCGCCCGGTCACCTGAAGCCAACCAGTCTGCTAGAGGTGCTTATTTCTCCCCAAGAGCATCCCTGCCAGCTCAGCCCTGGGCAGCTAACCACAGGCTCAGTGGTTCAAAACCACCAGCCACTCCTTGGGAGAAAGATGAGGCTATCTGCTCCTAAGACACCCTCCAGCGGGTGTTTATAAGTTGGACTTCGGACCGGATTCGGTGGTGTACGATTCTCGTGAAGCCGAATCATGAGTCCTGTGAGAGAGAAGACCTGCCCCGGGCGCTTAGCCTGCAGCAGCGGAGCATCTGGGCCCAGAGGGCCAAAGAAAGAAACGGGCGTCCCAGAAAGGGAGTCTTGCTGGGCCATCAGGTGCCAAGGACGAGTGACGCTGCAGCTGATCTTGATCAAGATCACTATGCTTCTGCAGAAGGAAGGGAAAGTGGAGGAATCAAATAGGAAGATACAGAGAAAACCGATCCTAAAGAACCGTCTGCGAGTAAAAAGCAGCGCACAGATGCCATACAACTAGTGAAGGCGGGCTATTGTGGCTGGCCTTGCCTTTATGGGGGGGGTGGGGGTGTGCAACAGCCTCCGGTGCAGTGGGTTACATGCTGGGCTGCTAACTGCAAGGTAGGCAGTTCAAACCCACCAGGCAATCCGGACAACGACGAGGCTGTCTGCTGCTCCAAAGGCATACAGGCTCTGAAGCCCCACGGAGCCCTTCCCGCAGGTCCCGAGGGTGGCAGAGAGTTGGAGTTGATGCCATGGCCTCAGGGCAGGTGGGTCCTGGGAGAGGGCTTCACACGTTGTCTGCTGTCTCTGCAGGAAGCACGGAAGTTCTCCACTTGATGTGCTTGGCCTCGGAGCAGGCCACCTCAAGCTGGGCAGCCCTGCTAATGCGGCAGCTAAGCACTGGCCTACTAACCTACAAGTCAGAAGTTCGAACCCATGGCCCGCTCCGTGGTTAAAGGGCATGGCGGCGGTCTTCTGGGAAGACATAGAGCCCAGGGAAACCCGGTGGGGTAGTTCGACTCAGTCTTATGGGGTCCCTCAGAGTTGAAATGGACTCCCCGAGAATGGGTTTGGTGTAGAGGTGTTAATCAGCCTGCAAACCTGTAGCAATTGCCTTTTCTGTAGGCAAGGAAAGGGTGGCTTCTTGCTCCCCCAAGCACGTCTCAGACAGGTGCGGGGCTGCATTTCCTGCTGTGCGAAAAGTAGCCCACCCGCGCCCTTAGCCTTCCATCATGCCCACACAGGAGCACAACTCTCTGCAGTCACACTTGCCCCTTTGGAAGAGACAGTTGGGGCTGGTTTAGAAATGCCAGCTTCGCCAGCTCCAAACGACGACCAGCAGGTTCGACCCACGAATGCTCGCCCTAGTCGACACGCTCTCTCCTCGCACCCCTCAGCCCAGCATTCCCAACGGGTCCCTTCGTCAGCTCAGGGTCAGCGTATGGGTGACTTGAGGACCAAGGCCATAATCCATACCCGTATGCACAAGGTGAAAGGTAGGCTCCCCAGCGTTATAGCATTGGCCTATCACCGGAACAAAGTCTTTTCATCAACAGTGGAGTATAAATGACGACCTACATCGTGCACAGAGGTGTAAGGAACAGCTAGTAAATGGAAGGGAAACTCTGTGTTAAGTTTCCAAGGTTTTGGGTTGTTTTTTTTTGGGGGGGGGGTTCCCCCTTCCACTTGACATCGATGTTTAGGTTTTTATTAAGGCACATTTACCAGTTCAGCTCTGCAAACAAACACACTGAGAACTGAACCCAGGTTCTGAGTGCTGCCTTTGGCTAGCCAGAGGTCTGAGGAGCATTATTAACGTCTCTCTACCTGTCATTAACTGCTCTTACTGCTGTTTTTCTATGGTAAAGGAAAGATCATGCCATCTTTTTGCCAGCCCACCATTGTAAGCATCGGATGAGATCATGTCTGCAAGAGACTCATCATCTTTGTACCCGGCACTGCAAATGTCCCCTATTACTAAACTAATGTCGTCAGTTAACACAGGTCAGATCACAGCCGGTCTTGTCAAAGTACGTTATCCGTCGTGTGTCTCTGCATGGGCATTAAACCCTGTTAGATTCTGAAGATACTCAAGTAAAAGATCCTTTTACAATCATGAGAAAGGTCCCAGTCATACTGTATGGGTGGCTACAAGTCAGTTAATTTCTAAACACCGATTATTCCATTTAAAGCATTCAAAACCAAAAGAAAGAAAAACCGTACAAGTATGTGGGCCTACCACGTAAGTATATCGTATGACTACAATATAGGCAATTTTTCTGGCTATTTTCAGTATACTGGTGGATTATCTAATGAAAGAAGCAATACGTACGTGTGTGTTAAGATACTAATTTGGATATTGATCAATTAAATGAGGGTGTGGAGTAGGAAGTAGAGATTAACATAGCCCTGCTAAGACTGAAGTTTATTCTGTACCCAAAAAAAAGTCCACAAGATTCTGAAACACATTTGAAATGTGTGAAACCGAAGGAGCTTCAGGGGATGTTCCTTTATAAATACACTCAGAAAAGGAAGGACAATTGGAACAGAGGTGATGTCTTTCAGACGATCGGGCTCCCTACAAAGTGCATGAAGTCGTGTACTTTTCTAATGAAGAGCTGGGCGTTAAAAGGAGAACAATGCAAACTCAGTGTTTCGTCCAATTAAAAGAAATCATTCAAAACTAAGGGTGTGAATGATCACAGTTCTTTTGTGTTCATGACATAGTCTACAAAGACAACTGTCACCACTGAAAACAAACATGATTCTCAAAAGACATGTCCTCATTCGGTCCATTGCATCAGTGACTTGGGGTTCTGTGACTTGGAGTGGGGAGCTTGGTCAGTGGAACATCCCGATGTGCACACATCACCCTATTTTAACTGAACATGAAAAGGCAAAAACATCCTTCTGTACCAAGTACAGTTGGGTTCCCGTTTGGCAGAAATTAAATGGTCACCTGAGAAATGTTGGACAGACGTTAGCATTCACGTTTTAAAACCCCGGGGTGTCTCTGCTGATCATTTTGTCTAAGGTGATTTAAACAGCGAGAGCATCACACCGAGGCTAGCTTAGACAGATAACCGCCCAGTGTCTCATTGTCCTCTGCTGACAGAAATTATATTCTTTGAAGACCGACTTAGCCATAAAGCATGTTGTTGGGTGTGGTGGTGGTGTTTACTTAGTGAAGAAGACTTTTGTGGACTTTCTTTTTTAAGAAGCCAGGTGTAGGTTGGGGTGAGGGGGAAGAACCAATTATGGGTGAAAAACAGTGTTGCATGTAGAAGGAAAATGAAGAAGCATTTCTTTGCATGGCCTCTAAGATGTTATTCCCAATACTTGGAGGTTTTCGTTCTCTCCGGTTAAGGCGATTGATATTTTTCTGTGGGTCTCAGTAGCAAACCATGTTATTTAGACTCTCACCTGGCACGCTACCACCTCTGGCCCGCCCTTGAGCCCCTCGCCGGCAAAGGTCTCCAGGTGCAGTTTGGGTAACTGCAGGGTGAAGTCATTCCTGCTTGCCGCAGTCCGTGACAGCGAGATCTGATCTCTGACCTAAAGGGAAAAAAACAGCATCAATGGTAATTCCCCTTCAGACACATTAACTGGGATGAACTGGGTCCCCTTGAGCCCACTGAGTGGACTTGCATTGATCGCTGGACCTGAAATCCATGAATAAATTTAGGACTAATTGATTTTTCGTTGCAAATAAATCTCTAATTCAGAGTGCTGGGGGAGAATGTTAAGAAGAAAAAGCACCCTCCCAAAGCTTGCAGTGAGGGAGGGGAGAGTTGAGAGTCACGGGCACTCTGCTCATCAAGAGGCTTCGGATTTTTTCCCCCACAGCTCAAATCTCAAAATAAAAAGACAAGGAGGGAGGGGAAGGAAGAGTTACTATCATTTCCTTAATAACCCTCTTAGTTTACCCGATATTTGTTGATAGGTACGGGATGAGGTTGTTATGAGGTATAATTAGTCTTTGAAAAGAAAACTTCAATGATATGAACCCTGGAATCAAAACAAATATGCTGAACACAGACACTTGAAAGAGGCTGCTTGCCTTCTTTCTTCTCCTTAAAACTGAAGCAGTTTTTAAACTCTAGTCTTAACGATTAAATCCATATAAACCAACTCAGTCACACAACTTCTAAATAAGATAGCACTGAGACAAAATCAGTAGTATTTGTACTATATTTCTAAGTACTCGGAAAGGTAACAATACAAACACATCACAGATATAGAAAAAACACCGATTCGCTAGCCAGTAAAGGAACCACACGCCGTTGATATCACACTGCCACCTTCTGGGAAAATAGGGAAATGCTCCCCGCCCGGTGGGCTAGACTGAAGAAAGGGTCGGAAACACATATTTTGGTTTTTTCATTCCAAACTTAGCAAAAGCCTTAAAAGTCCGCAGTTTGGCTTGTGTTTCAGGTGAATAAACTCTCCTGTTTAATCACATAATTTAAAATCTTGCATTTTCATGGGTGGATCTGTTTTATTTCTTTTTTCTTTTTAATCAATTTATTGGGGTTCATACAATTCATCACAATACATAGATCAATTGTGTAAAGCACACCTATACATTTGTTGCCCTCATTATTCCCAAAATTTGCTTTCCTCTTGGGTTCCCGGAATCAGCTCATTTTGGATCTGTTTTCTAATTTCCCTTTGACTTTAATCGTTTCTTAATAATGTCTCACTTGGACAGCACACATTTATTTGACCATTGTCATGCAACCAGCTCAAAGATACCAGATATGAAGAGTTTATCTGGAGAGAAAACAATAAAAGAACAAGACCCACTGCCCCAATAAAAATGCTTATTTCTCTAGGTTGAGCAAGTTCAATTGCTTGGCTAGGTGTGATATCAAAAAAGCATCCCCTTCATTTTTCTATTCTACCAGGCAGAGCGTGTAAAACGGGGGGAATTGCTCTGTGGTCCAAGAATGAACTCCCTCTGAAAGCCGCCCCCCGCGCGCGCGTGTGTGTGCGCGCGCACACCCCCCCCCCCACACACACACACACACACACACGGCTGCCTGCTCCTTGGAGCACCGGTGACCAGCCATCACACACAAAAACAGAATGGCCGTAATTGTTCATGCTAATCTGTGGGCATAAAAATCCTGATATTTCCCAAGCTGATCTTAAGAATTCCTGTCAATACCAACGGCTGCAAAAGCATGCACACTAATGCAATTTTCATAATAGCGTTAGGGCTCTACGCGTGCGGTCGTCACGATTCATCATAGGTATTTATCCCGACCAAACCTTCACCGGTCTTCAGGCAGGATGAGAATGCTAGTGAGCTCACTTAAACAGAACAAGATCAAACATATTTTACAAATGTTTGTTTTAGGTTTTATATTCTATGTGTATAGTGCCTTCTCTTGCCTTTTTTTGTCACTGATGTGCACACAGATAAAAGAAAACATTAATGCGGTTTAAGGTACTGAGAATTTATCAACATCAAACCGCCAGTGTTTTGCCTTCTACCCTTCTGAACCAAAGTCAATAGATCTAAATATTTTACTGCACCCTGGCCAATTCATTGTTTGATGTTTAAAAACTCACCCGGAATCAAAGAAAATTTATTAAATTTGAGCCCCCAAATGAGATACTATTAGCTTTGAAAGTCAAGTTTAACTGCGATATTGATGATTCTCTTTTTTCTGTGACAAAACTCACTAGGGAAATCCTGGGCGTCAAAGTACAAAAGCAGATTGCGAACACGGGCAAGGGGCTGGGGGTGGGGCCAGGAGCAATGGGGGTGAACCCTCCGCCGGGCTGGGGCTACCTGGCCCATCCGGCCGCCGGACAGCAGGGCTTGGGCTTCGTCTCTGAGGCTGGGCAACCAGTGAGTGGCATCTTATAACCTCTAAGTAAAGTGGGTGAGCAACGCCACGTGGGGACATCGGCATTTAACACTTTGCTTTATTTTCAAATGAACATTTTCACAACAGCACTATCTCACTTAGAAAAGTGAGTCACTTTTCAGACTGACTCCTCCCAAAACACTCTAAGTGCCGCTGTTGTTGCTAAACCTGATCATGGAAATCATCAATATCAAATTCTTTGCAACATGCATGCGAGCTGATACTTTCATTTCAAACCTTCTGCTAAACTGGACAGTGGCAGCAAGAGACTCTGCCCAGGGGACATGGAACAGAAGCAGGATGGTCTATTTCTCTACTAAAATTTTAAATCATCTCCTTTTTAAGCTATCCTGAAATCATGAGGGTAGATACTGAAATTTTCTCATAATAATCAGAAATTTGGTGTCCATGGTGTGTGTGTGTGTGTGTGTGTGTGTGTGTGTGTGTGTGTGTGTGTGTGTTTAAAGTCTTACAAATGATTGGCTAGGAATTATTTTTCTTTTCATGGAAACAGAATCTCCCGCCCCCTGCATCCTCTTGGGGAGACACGAAACAGGGCCAGGAGGACAAGCGCCGCTCTCACGGTGCGTGCACAATAACAAGAGGAGGGGAAGATGGTGAGGACCAGGTGAAAGAGAGGGGTGCAGGGGAAGGGTGGTCGAAAGAATGCAGAAAGAAGCATGAATTTCAGGAGGGCAATCAGGATAAACAGGCGGATTTGACACAGAAGAACGGGAAGGAAGCTGGCTGTGACCTGAATGCATTAGATTTGCTCTTAAGAAAAACAGAACAAACACGGGCAAGGAGAGCCAGTGTGGGCTGCTTTAGGAGAAAACACCCCATTGGATGCCAACTGGCTCTTTTCCCGGGTGCAGACCTGGGGTCAAAAGACCTGAAAGGTCACAATTGTAGAACAGAACAATTCTTTTTCTTCCTGAAAGAACAAGCAGATGTACCTGTAAGGCACCAATTTTGGGGGTGGTGTAAGATTGAAACATCAGTGGCTGAGTTAAGATACAATCAGAGTTTCAAATTTCAAAGTCATGTCAAATTATCATTCGAAAAGGTATTCTTTGGTTCTGTCTACAGCACACATTACAGCATCCCTCATCTAATTGGGACTCTACACTCTTCACTTATTTATGTATAAAGATAAGCAATAAAAACACATTAAATGTTTTTCTACTTTGTGGGGTCTAGCAGTCCCTTTTTAACAGATAACAAATTTTTCACAAGAGTTTACAATTGTCACATTGTAGATATTTTTTGTAGCACTCAATAGAAGGTAGGATTTCACAATGTTTTGAAAAAGAATAAAGAAAAAAAATGTCTATGTGGCTACCTTAGAAAATTTTTACTTTTCAAAATCCCAATTTACATTCTCCCTTTCAAAAACCCAGTCTTCTAGTATAGGTGCTACAAGAAACAAGAGGAGCAGAGAGAACAATAAATGGGATGTTCTGAAAGGTCAGTCAGTATTATAAAACATATAGTTACCTGACTAAAAAAGACAGGCCCTGGTGGTGTGATGGTTTAAGCCTGGGGCTGCTAACCACAAGGTTAGTAGTTCAAAACCGTCTGACATTTCACAGGAGAAAGGTGAGGCTGACTGCTCCCCGACAGATACCGACACCCGTAGGAGCATTTCTATACTGTCCTGTCCGGCTACTGGCAGTCAGAATGAACTTGGTGGCAGTGGGTTGGGGTTTATTGTAATAATCTCGTTCCAGATTAAAATGAAAGCATAAGGCCAGTGTTGTATGGTTCCACTCCTCGAAATAACCAAGACTCACAAGCCACCATCGTGTTGTACAGATTTCTGTGTCTCTACCATAACACCAAAAGGCTATTTCTGCTAGCTACGTCAACTACAAAGCTTAAACTAAAAATCAACCTGAAAGTACCGTGGACTTGCCAGAAGAACAAACAGATCGGTCTGGGCAGACGCACAGGCAAAATGCGCTGAGAAGGAAGGCTCTTGCAGCACTTAGGCTCACAGACTTCAGACATGTAATCAGGAGAGACCAGGCCCTGGAAAAGGACATCGTGCTTGGTAGGCATCAGGCCGAGTGGCCAAAAAGAGGACGGTGCTGGACGAGATGATGGACACAGTGGCTGCAACAATGGGGCTCAAACAGAGCACGTGCCAGGACGGCAGCACGGGGAGTGGTTTCCTCCTGTTGTGCACGGGGGCGCATGCGTTGGAACTCAGCTAATGGCACTCACAAAAAACTTAAATGGGTCATTTTTTCCCCAAAGGAAACTCGTTCACTTCTCAGAACGAGGACCTATATAGTTTTCCATGCACTACTCTCTCTGTACCTAATGTGCCAATTAAAAAACAAATCATGACATGCAATACTAGTTGTGATGGTATGAGTGGGATTCCAAGAAGGAAAGATTCCACCCAAAGCTGATACATTTAATAACACGTGGAAGATGGATGTGGTAACTGATCCTGAATGAATCAGAAGACAACTGGAAGACACAGAGTCGCTGCACAAAAAACAACTGGTCCATGTTCAACCATTGCTGGAGGTAGCGCGTGATCAAGAACTGGCAGGAATGAAGGGAGCAGTCCGAGCTGAACTCACATTGAGTACAACAAATGGTCGTTCAAAAGTAGAGGCAACTCGGCAGGTGCTCACTCATCTGTGCCAAGGACTTGGAAGATAC